CACTGACACTGCATCACACAGCTGTAAGTGTAAACTGGTCACTGACACTGCCTCACACAGCTGTAAGTGTAAACTGGTCACTGACACTGCCTCACACAGCTGTAAGTGTAATCTGGTCACTGACACTGCCTCACACAGATGTAAGTGTAAACTGGTCACTGACACTGCCTCACACAGCTGTAAGTGTAAACTGGTCACTGACACTGCCTCACACAAATGTAAGTGTAAACTGGTCACTGACACTGCATCACACAGCTGTAAGTGAAAACTGGTCACTTACACTGCCTCACACAGCTGTAAGTGTAAACGTGTCACTGATACCGTCGTCATTAATAACAATTAACTGGACATAAACATGAGACAGTGAAACAGTTGTATAGGATGTTTCTGGGGGAATGTCAATATCGTTATTTTAGAAACATGTTATGATTTATTCCCATTAATTGCATAGTTCGTTAAGTTGGCATTTCTAAAGACCCCGAGAGGTACATATACTAGGGGATAAACTTTCATTTTTATCAAGAATCTATTTATAAGCAATTGAGTTCGAGAAATTTCCAAATGATATAAGCATTTACCAGAGAAACGTATATATACACGCATATAATGCAACCACGTTGTAATGATTAAAAAGAAATATTTACTTTCCTGAGAAACAATCAATTGAAAACTATGTGTTAATGTAATGGCATGCACGAGAAACCCTAGAAAAACTCTGATATTTACGACTGCGTGAATATACTTATTCCTAATCTTGGTTGACTTGCACCTAGACGCACCAATACACACTCAGTCAGATGTTTACAAGACGTGACGCTAGCCTGAAGCTTCAACACCATGTCATATGTCACATTTAAACAGGAAGACGTTTGTACGAGGTGTTTCGTTTGATTTAGACACCCTGTAAGGCCTTTGGGCCGACTCGTTTGTATGAGGTGTGGTTGGGACATAACGTTTGTCCTGCGGCTCGACAAGATATGCACATGTGGCACACATTTGGTTCGGCTTCCACCCTGTGTCCATGTCAACCCAGCGTCTCGAAGTCATATTTCCATCTTTATTTGGTGTCTAAACAGCTTTGTTAATGACTACACTTTACCATTGAGTGTGAACTGCATGATTAAAGGTCCAGTACAGTTTACCTGTCATCGTTGGGGAGGTAGACGACAGGTGCTTGCTGTATAGAACTAGGTGTAGCGAGCATTATCGATCTGACACCTGACATGAATTTAATCATTATACACGGTACTATGGTGTAACCTGACTTTTCTTCACACGTCACCGATGTCACGTCACAACATCGCATTCTCATTATTATACCGATCAAGGTATATAAAATAGAAATCTCATCTTTCAATCAATGTCGATAAAATTGTAGTAAATATTTGTGTGAACGCTTTTGATAAAACGGGTTGACAGGATCAGAAAAACATGTTTGTATACCAGACATACATGTTTATATAACAGACATACATGTTTGTATAACAGACATACATGTTTGTACACCAGACATATATGTTCATAAACCAGACATACATGTTTGTATAACAGACATACATGTTTGTACCCCAGACATACATGTTTATAAACCAGACATACATGTTTGTGTACCATACATGCATGTTTGTATACCATACATGCATGTTTGTATACCATACATGCATGTTTGTATACCAGACATACATGTTTGTACACCAGACATACATGTTTATAAACCAGACATACATGTTTGTGTACCATACATGCATGTTTGTATACCATACATGCATGTTTGTATACCAGACATACATGTTTGTACACCAGACATACATGTTTATAAACCAGACATACATGTTTAAAAACCAGACATACATGTTTATAATCCAGACATACATGTTTGTATACCATACATGCATGTGTGTATACCATACATGCATGTTTGTATACCATACATGCATGTTTGTATACCAGACATACATGTTTGTATAACAGACATACATGTTTGTACCCCAGACATACATGTTTATAAACCAGACATACATGTTTAAAAGCCAGACATACATGTTTATAAACCAGACATACATGTTTGTGTACCATACATGCATGTTTGTATACCATACATGCATGTTTGTATACTATACATGCATGTTTGTATACCATACATACATGTTTGTATACCAGACATACATGTTAGTACATCAGACATACATGTTTGTACACCAGACATACATGTTTGTATAACAGACATACATGTTTGTACACCAGACAAACATGTTTATAAACCAGACATACATGTTTGTATAACAGACATACATGTTTGTACACCAGAGTTACATGCTATTATTGATAATACATATCATTATCGCATGAGGCCAAAAATAGAAGATATGTCTTTCAACAGGTCGAAACTAATATGACAGGACTTATTTATCCATTTGAAATAGAAAAGTACTGAAAAATTGTCATTATGTCTATTCAGTTTCAATATAGTAATACATACAGAGACAGGATTGACAGGTATTTGATCAGAAACCAGATAAACTTGTCTTGTCTTTGAGTAAACATTAGAAAATAAAACAGTTAAAGCAGGATTCAGTGCTGACACATTAATGATATATTTTTCTTTAAAATCGTATATTACAGGAATATCTGATATTTTTATCGTTGACCATTAACGTTTTTGTTAACTTCCATTTTTTCCTCCAGTTAGTTCACAAATTATCCAATGATTCGTTTTATTTGATGGCTAATTATATGTTTTGCTAAAAGAATTTTAAGAAAATGTCACATCATATTTAATGTGTTTGGATTAATAAAGATGACAGTTCGAATTATTTTAATAACTTGCAAAATATCCCGCTTATAACATGAGGAATGTGTTTTTTCCGCTGACTTCCACTTCTAATTAATGATTTAAGAGTTACCCTAATATATTCCATTGCGCAATGTATTACTCTACCATCTACATAAACTGCGCACCGATCGCATTCTCTTCATATTAGTGATTAGGTAAAAGACCCCTTCATTTGAAAGCTCCAATAAGTCAACTTCACATAAGGCCTCAATAATTCAAGTCAAATTCAGTAAAGTACGACTTGCATCATGCACTGAAAATTGATTGCTTGTGCAGCATAAGTTGATTATCATTGATATTTATGACTTAATTGGGGAATAATCTATTGTATCTTTTGGTTGGTCCTTGATCATTGATGGATAACGGAAATAGCCTGGCCGTAATGTCAAGTCGTGTTGTTTCGAACTAGCTGGTGTTAATGGTGCGCTTCAGACATGTGTTAGCAGTGCTATACAATAGATAATAACACTCTATTACAGCAGTATGACATTATAGTAACAGCTGTTCCTACATCAAGCATATCAAAACACAATTTCAAGCCTGTTTTAAAAATCATGTTGTATTGATATTAATTTACTATTTATAAAACATCAGAGGGATCTATATCTGAGAAATAAAATTACCATTCCATAGTAGCAATCATATGTCATACAAAACAACAAACAGTAAATGTAAGTAGGCCTGCTTAAAGTGGTAACAGATCAATATTTCACTTCTAAAATGCATAATTATAAAAATCCATGTATATCACATCGTTCATCTTATGTTGCATTTATCCAAAGGAAAGATAATCTATATTTGTTCAGGTACTGTGTGCATATAAATACATCTATCGATTTTTGTGTAGGTACAAGTATATATACAGCTAAGGTTATGAAAAATTAAACATCAGACCGTAGAAATAGAATGAAAACAAAAATAAATACCGTTGAAGACTTTCTATTTATATATTTGTTATGTGTGTAGTAAATAGAAATTGTATTACTGGAGTACGTATTCGCACAAATACTTTTATCGATTGTTTTGTGAACTTGCTATTATATCATAGGTATATTAATTTATTATTTGTGCACGCCAAAAAATATTTGTTGACATATAAATAATTCCATTGTGTACGTATTAACATATCAACTGATTATTAGTACACTTATGAGAATATATATTGTTTATGTGTGCACATGATAATTATATGTATTGATTGTGTACTTTATTATTTTTTATTTGTATTTTGTATATCTTTTAAATTTATATCCACGTATTAGCAAACCTATTATTTATATAAATATCTGTATATCAAAAAGTAGTTTTACATCAATATTTAGTTATTCATTATCATATATATTGTGAACTCATTATTGCATCTTTTGTGATTGTTTGTGTGCTTATTTGTATATTTATTAACTGATTGTGTACTAGTAGATATATTGATTATACATGTATTAGTTGATATATTGATTGTTTGTGTACATATTAATAAATAAAGTTAGTTTAGTTGTACGTATTACAATATGCATTATCTATGTCTACATATTGGTGCATCTATCGATTATTTGTGTATAAGTTGATGGATTGATTATCTGTGTATATATTAGTGTATTGATTATTTGTGTATGTATAAGTATAACTACTGATCATCTGTGTACATATTAGTGTACCGATGACCGCGACCCACACCACTCAGGTTGTAAAGTGTGGGAGTGGACACTGTTGATCCGGGCTGATTCTACATCCAATGGTGTTGTTGTGGTGTTCTATACGATATGATTAGAATTGCAGATTTACACCAATTCATATGAAATTGTTTTCCTATCCCCATTAGGTCATAATTGAAATTCATTCATCACATTTAGAACTAGCGCTTCACGAGAGTAGTGACAGACGCTATGTCGTTATTGATGGCGGCGGTCATGTTAAATTGTCTGCCATTATCTCTTGCCTTAGACGTTTCTTTCATCTGCAATTTGCTTATTTAATTTGTACAAAGTACATGAGCCTAGAAATGGAAATTTGATTGACAATTTGACCATTAACATGATTGATTACAACCCATATTACCCATTTTGTATTCAACCGACAGCGTTATGTTATCTGGCCACTGATTGGTCCGATTAGAACATTTATCATACTTGATCTTGATGCAAACTGACAGTTTGGAAAGCCCACAAGCTATGAATACTTGAGTGGTTCCTGTGATATATTAAACTGCCTGAAGGCGGTGTAAACCTTTTATCTCGTGAGTCAGCCGCAAGTGTTGAGAATATCACTTGAGATCTGGCTTGATGGGCGGTATGGGCTTGTATGTTTCAGTTTACTAACGGGGTGACGTTCGTTGTCGACTTTCAGTTGTTTGACTGACAGCCGTGCTGTAAACAGGGATAGCAACACAAGGAAACGAACATACCAGTGACTAGTCTGGCATTTCTGCTGTTCGGACATAGAACCGTTTTTGTTTACCGTACCCGAGTGATCTGACCAAGTCGTGCGGATTCTATACTAACACACCATTGTTAGTTCAGTGATGGTGTTTTTGTGAGCTTTCTCTCCTGGCTCCTCACTTGGGATTTTATATTTTTAACACGTTTTGGATTCTTACAACATAGCTGTGTGTGTTTCAACATCGAACAAGATGTTGACGTCGTCCTCGGTAGCTCAGTATATCAACCCGGACTACTTACAACCCCTTCCTACCACGGTAAGTCGGCTTATAGTATTTAATAATATAAAAATAATCATATTTAAAAATTAGGGAGGATATGTTTTCAGAAACATTTTGGGCTATCTTAATGATTAAGTATATGGCTTATGAACACAAATAAAACCTCTTTATCAATTAAATTATATGTATTGATGGGGTAAATTTAAATTAATAGAGCTTGATAATCCACCCGTACAGGTTTTCACATCAAAAATAATATTTTAATTCAAAGACAAACTTCAAAAAGAATTATTTTGTTTACGGATACGATAGTAGGTGATCGGCGACTGTATGATAAGGACGCACATTGATAAGTGTATACTACCCCGATCCTATACACTTATATACACACGCCGGCCCTTTTACTCGACTTCCACTGTAGGGTGACCCGCCAGACCTGTCATCAATCACACTCTCGGCATGTACCTCTTGTTCCCACGAGGTTTCGTACGAACACACCCTAACTCCTTATATAATACGTATATTATACACGTCGTGTAGGCGTCACATATAAACCAGTCATTTTGGGATGATTTATCAAAAGTCCGATTTGAAGTGCAAGGCGATGTTGTTAAAATACCATATGTCTAAATGTGGGCTTTATCATGTCGATTATATTTCCTTGTATTACCTCATTTCTTTATTTGGAAACATAAAAACAATTTAAAACTAAACGTACGAGTGTAATTTATATCTTTGACAAAATAATTCATGCATTGATCACAATAAGATAAATTTCGTGCAGAACTCTGTTATGATTCTTGTTATAAATAATACGCTGAATAAATATTTAAAAGAAGAGTTTAAAACTTGAGAATAAAAATAATAGAAAAAGTGAAAATATCTGTTTAAGTTTCCTTAAATTCATGAAATATTTTTAAACTGACTACAAAAACACAAAAGAAAAACAGTGATATATTAAGATAAGCAAATGTATGGTGTATTCATTTCGTTATTGTAAATTATATGATTTCGATTTTTCTCTTTAATAGCTTGACGCGAAGAAGAGTCCACTGGCGTTACTGGCCCAGACATGTAGCAGTATAGGGAAGGACACCAACTCAAAGTCCTTAATACCGCCATTAGATAAAAAAGATAGCGAGAAAAACAACGACAAATCTAACAATGACGGACACAAACGTGAAACAAAAGACAAGGAATCCAGTTCTAACAGTAAACCCGGATTTAGGACAATTCAAAGCAAAGATATACCCCCCCTTGTACCCGTGTCACGGTCTAGCGAGGACCAGAAAACGCCGTCTCCATCTCCATCCAAATCCTCTCCTCGTCCCCCTAAGGAGAAAACATGTTCACCTCAGGCGGACTTGACCTCTGGACCACCTCGATCGATCAGCTCGCACAGCTCGGGGTCACATCGCAACATGACGGACAAGGACGATGACAAGAGCAAAAGACCGGGGTCATCTCCAAGGTCACCCCACAAGTTTACTCGTGACATTGGTTCATATGGAGATGTAGCTAAGTCAGTGTGTTCTACGTCTCAGTCGGCCTACAGTGGTTATTCGTCACTATCTAGTTCCTACCCCCATTACACCCATGCTGGTCACGGACTTTCACCAGACGCAGCTGCCGCGCACTTCGCCGGATTTCCTTTACCTTTACCAGCACATGGTGCTTTTGGTTCCTCTTCCGCTGCTGCAGCTGCACTAGCAGCACAATCATCTGCCCTGGCCGCTCAATCATCGGCTCTCAAAGCCGGTATGGGATCTTCGTTCTCCCCTTACGTGACGTACGCCCGTGTGAGAACACCCTCTGGAGCCACAACCCTCGTTCCTGTTTGTCGCGACCCATACTGTACCCATTGCCAATTGACTGAACAGAACGCACATTTATCATCCACATGTACGGCAGTTGGTTGTGCTCAGTGTGCTCATGAAAAATCTCTACAAAATTTGAGCTTGGGACTAAATAGTTCTTCATTCTCACATTTGCAATCGCTTTCAGCATCAGGGCTGTTAACATCTGTTCCATCCAGTTCGTTACATTTATCTTCGCCATTATATCACCATAGTGCTCTGAGCGGGCATACTCAGTCGGCATTTCCCTTTGCCTGTAATTGGGTATCGGCCGGGAATGAACATTGTGGTAAACGATTTACTACATCAGAGGAACTATTACAACATCTGAGGACACATACTACAGCGTCAGACCCTCTCTCTCTGGCAGCAAGCTATGACCGGTATGGTTTGGCTGCTGCTGCGGCGGCTGGCCTTCCAGGTCTCCATTTGCCCACACCTGGCTCTGTTAGTCCCAATTCCCTACGAAGGAGCTACCCAACAAGTCTGAGTCCACTGTCAGGTCTGATGGGGTCGAGTCGCTACCATCCGTACAAAACCATGATAAACCCCCAGGCTGGGCTCAGCAACGCTCAACATCACCCCGGCCTCAGTCCCTACCTCTCACATTACTCTCTGTATGGACAGAGATTAGGGGCAGCCGCTGTGCCCTAATGGACGTTAATCCAGGACGTTGCTTACATTGTGATATTGTGTTAGTGCTGGCAATATATATATGATATATATCTATACAAACTCGTGTATTACTGACAGTAATTAAGACTCTTGATGCTATACAATATTAGAATGATATAACGATTTTTTCTTATAAAGTTCTACTGAATTACAGAAATTATTATATAAAATCCATTTTCTTTATTGACTGTTTTATCTCAGGGCAGATGAAAAAAGGCTCAGTTGTAAATTTTAGAAATTTGAACAATAGTGCTCAACTTCAGTATTTAAGATAAATGTGATTGTGAAAGACTTATTTATCATATTGAAGAGGCGTTTAACGTCAGGCGGGATACAACGCATGGCGACGTAATTATGAATTCTCTGGATTCGAGGTGGAATGCCGGAGACTAAACATGCAATGTTGTAAAGAAATCATACATGAAATGTATTAAAATCTATTGTCAATTAACTTTGTATTCCTTTGTGATTGTAATAGAATATCTCGTCCTCCACCTGAGCCACTGCTCTGCTGATTGATCGTAACTGTCACATATGTTTACGATATTGACTCGCTGATTCATCGTCCATTAACAATGTCACGCTGTACAACCTGTCTTTAACAGCTGCTGTAGTCTCCATAGTATTCAGTTGACTTTCAAACTGTCTATTTGAAAGTATTATACAGGTGCAATGCCAACAGATTACTGTCAAAGGCTTTACATAGAAAACCGTTCTGACAACAATGATAGATTTACTCATCACGTTCCCTGTTCTATCGGTCGATGACGTGTGTGCAGTGTAACGATGGGAGTTGGTTTCCTGTCAAAACTACACTTCTTTAGACACTACTTTAGGAATGGTTACAAATCGGCGGACGAAAACGCCTACGTACAGTCGAGCGTGGATATAACTTTACACGATACCTAAACAGTTAAGTTACAGTCACCATGGAGGAGTTTATTGACTTGAAAATATATTGGATGACATGCATGTTTAAAAAATGTTTTGTTCATAGGATTGACCTGTATAATAAATCTAAATCAAAACTGAAGAATATATTATGCATGGCGATAAAGTCGGTATGCACTTTGGTTGTAAATTCAATAGCGGGATCTCAGCATGTCCTAAGTGAGTAAAACATTAACATACATCAAACGAGATCGATTAAACGTCTCGCACAGCTAATTAATTCTGTAACACGCACAAACCTGTGGTGTTTATTACAACCCGTGAGTTGTTGAACATTGATCTGTGATTATTTTTTACAGCAACAAACATGTGGTGTATATTACAGCACTAAACAGTGGTGTATATTACAGCACCAAACAGTGATGTATATTACAGCACCAAACAGTGGTGTATGTTACAGCACCAAACAGTGATGTATGTTACAGCACCAAATAGTGGTGTATGTTACAGCACCAAACAGTTATGTATAGTACAGCACCAAACAGTGGTGTATGTTACAGCACCAACCAGTGATGTATATTACAGCACCAAACAGTGATGTATAGTACAGCACCAAACAGTGGTGTATGTTACAGCACCAAACAGTGATGTATGTTGCAGCACCAAATAGTGGTGTATATTACAGCACCAAACAGTTATGTATAGTACAGCACCAAACAGTGGTGTATGTTACAGCATCAAACAGTGGTGTATGTTACAGCACCAAACAGTGATGTATATTACAGCACCAAACAGTTATGTATAGTACAGCACCAAACAGTGATGTATATTACAGCACCAAACAGTGGTGTATGTTACAGCACCAAACAGTGGTGTATGTTACAGCACCAAACAGTGGTGTATGTTACAGCACCAAACAGTGATGTATTTTACAGCAACAAACAGTGATGTATATTACAACACCAAATAGTGATGTATAGTACAGCACCAAAAAGTGGTGTATGTTACAGCACCAAACATTGGTGTATGTTACAGCACTTAACAGTGATGTATATTACAGCACTAAACAGTAGTGTATAAGTCAGCACCAAACATTGGTGTGTATGACAACATAAAACAGTGAAGTTTATTACAGCACTAAACAATGGTGTACATTACAGCAACAAACATTGGTGTATATTACAGCACTAAACAATGGTGTATATTACAGCACTAAACAGTGATGTATATTACAGCACTAAACAGTGATGTATATTACAGCACCAAACAGTGATGTATATTACAGCACCAAACAGTGATGTATATTACAGCACCAAACAGTGATGTATATTACAGCACCAAACAGTGATGTATATTACAGCACCAAACAGTGATGTATATTACAGCACCAAACAGTGATGTATATTACAGCACCAAACAGTGATGTATATTACAGCACCAAACAGTGATGTATATTACAGCACCAAACAGTGATGTATATTACAGCACCAAACAGTGATGTATATTACAGCACCAAACAGTGATGTATATTACAGCACCAAACAGTGATGTATATTACAGCACCAAACAGTGATGTATATTACAGCACCAAACAGTGGTGTATGTTACAGCATCAAACAGTGGTGTATGTCACAGCATTAAACAGTGGTGTATGTTACAGCACCAAACAGTGGTGTATGTTACAGCACCAAACAGTGATGTATGTTACAGCACCAAATAGTGATGTATATTACAGCACCAAACAGTGATGTATATTACAGCACCAAACAGTGGTGTATGTTACAGCATCAAACAGTAGTGTATGTTACAGCACCAAACAGTGATGTATGTTACAGCACCAAATAGTGATGTATATTATAGCACCAAACAGTGATGTATATTACAGCACCAAACAGTGGTGTATGTTACAGCATCAAACAGTAGTGTATGTTACAGCACCAAACAATGGTGTATGTTACAGCACCAAACAGTGATGTATGTTACAGCACCAAAAAGTGGTGTATGTTACAGCACCAAAAAGTGGTGTATGTTACAGCACCAAGCAGTGATGTATATTACAGCACCAAACAGTGATGTATATTACAGCACCAAACAATGGTGTATATTACAACACCAAATAGTGATGTATAGTACAGCACCAAAAAGTGGTGTATGTTACAGCACCAAACATTGGTGTATGTTACAGCACTTAACAGTGATGTATATTACAGCACTAAACAGTAGTGTATAAGTCAGCACCAAACATTGGTGTGTATGACAACATAAAACAGTGAAGTTTATTACAGCACTAAACAATGGTGTACATTACAGCAACAAACATTGGTGTATATTACAGCACTAAACAATGGTGTATATTACAGCACTAAACAGTGATGTATATTACAGCACCATACAGTGATGTATATTACAGCACCAAACAATGATGTATTTTACAGCACTAAACAGTGATTTATATTACAGCACTAAACAGTGATGTATATTACAGCACCAAACAGTGATGTATATTACAGCACCAAACAGTGATGTATATTACAGCACCAAACAGTGATGTATATTACAACACTAAACATTGGTGTATATTACAGCACCAAACAGTGATGTATATTACAGTACCAAACAGTGAAGAATATTACAGCACCAAACAGTGATGTATATTACAGCACTAAACATTTGTGTTTATTACAACACCAAAAATTGGTGTTTATTACAACACCAAACAGTGATGTATATTACAGCACCAAACAGTGATTTATATTACAACACCAAATAGTTGTGTATGTTACAGCACTAAACAGTGGTGTATATATCAGCACCAAACAGTGTTAAAGGCACATATACGTGGCAAATCACTGTGTTTATTACAAAACCAACCTGTGGTGTATAATACAACTCCTATTACATTACCTACCTGTGGTGTTTATTACAGCATTAACATTTGGTGTTGATAGTATCACATGGAAAATGCTTTGGTATGATTCGGTAATGAGAAAACAGAAATATATTGATATCGACATTAAGACCATATGAATATCAAATCATAGCAGAACACAGGGAAGAAATATCAACCCATGAACAGCAGACCGCCCATAAATATCATACAATAGCAGGGTAAAATTGACCCAAAAACATAGTACCAGAGCAGAACAGCACGGGAAATAATGATCCATAAATTTCATACCATAGCAGGGTAAAAATTGACCCAAAAACATAGTACGTGAGCAGAACAGCACGGGAAATAATGATCCATAAATATCATACCATAGCAGGGTAAAAATTGACCAAAAAAAATAATACCAGAGCAGAACAGCACGGGAAATAATGATCCATAAATATCATATCATAGCAGGGTAAAAATTGACCCAAAAAAATAGTACCAGAGCAGAACAGCATGGGAAATAATGATCCATAAATATCATACCATAGCAGAACACGGGGGAAATATTGACCCATGAATACCCTACCAACAAATGATAATCACTTAATATTAAAGAAAGTATAACATAAGACGAACCTAGAAATTAAAGTGTTTGGAAGCACGTGCATGAAACAGAGAGAGAGAGAGCAAGAACTATCATTTTAGCGTGAATGTAGCTTACGTGATCAAATAAAAGAAAACTCTAGTTTAATTAAATATGAGGAAAATAGCATACAACATTTACCAGTTGGTTGTGGAAAATAGTATACAACATTTACCAGTTGGTTGTGGAAAATAGAATACAACATTTACCAGTTGGTTGTGGAAAATAGAATACAACATTTACCAGTTGGTTGTGGAAAATAGAATACAACATTTACCAGTTGGTTGTGGAAAATAGAATACAACATTTACCAGTTGGTTGTGGAAAATAGAATACAACATTTACCAGTTGGTTGTGGAAAATAGAATACAACATTTACCAGTTGGTTGTGGAAAATAGAATACAACATTTACCAGTTGGTTGTGGAAAATAGAATACAACATTTACCAGTTGGTTGTGGAAAATAGAATACAACATTTACCAGTTGGTTGTGGAAAATAGAATACAACATTTACCAGTTGGTTGTGGAAAATAGAATACAACATTTACCAGTTGGTTGTGGAAAATAGAATACAACATTTACCAGTTGGTTGTGGAAAATAGAATACAACATTTACCAGTTGGTTGTGGAAAATAGAATACAACATTTACCAGTTGGTTGTGGAAAATAGAATACAACATTTACCAGTTGGTTGTGGAAAATAGAATACAACATTTACCAGTTGGTTGTGGAAAATAGAATACAACATTTACCAGTTGGTTGTGGAAAATAGAATACAACATTTACCAGTTGGTTGTGGAAAATAGAATACAACATTTACCAGTTGGTTGTGGAAAATAGAATACAACATTTACCAGTTGGTTGTGGAAAATAGAATACAACATTTACCAGTTGGTTGTGGAAAATAGAATACAACATTTACCAGTTGGTTGTGGAAAATAGAATACAACATTTACCAGTTGGTTGTGGAAAATAGAATACAACATTTACCAGTTGGTTGTGGAAAATAGAATACAACATTTACCAGTTGGTTGTGGAAAATAGAATACAACATTTACCAGTTGGTTGTGGAAAATAGAATACAACATTTACCAGTTGGTTGTGGAAAATAGAATACAACATTTACCAGTTGGTTGTGGAAAATAGAATACAACATTGACCAGTTGGTTGTGGAAAATAGAATACAACATTGACCAGTTGGTTGTGGAAAATAGAATACAACATTTACCAGTTGGTTGTGGAAAATAGAATACAACATTTACCAGTTGGTTGTGAAAAAAGTATACAACATTTACCAGTTGGTTGTGGAAAATAGTATACAACATTTACCAGTTGGTTGTGGAAAATAGTATACAAAGGCTTTGACTTTTGTCATATTCTTTTGTAAAAAAATATTTTTTTAATCTCTCGTCGCGCAATATTCGAAGATAATCTGATGGGAAGTTTTATTGAGTGAAAAATAATTGACAACTTGTTATTCAGTACACAAATGATGGAAACGAATATAAAATGTTTATATATACGGTGAATTAAGTTACTCGAATTGTTATCAACATCAAAATCCAACTAACTACCTGCTTGGCACAACATTGAATTTATGAACCACAAAAGCTTTAAAATAATTTATACATACTTTAATATTTACTTATGATAAAATATTAATTCATACCTACACGAGTTACGTTTTTATTTAACAAAATTATTACACATCTACCTCCATAATTTTATAAATTAATGATTACATACCTGCATACATAAAGATGAATGAACGTATAAATGTTGCACACACGCTACCTACATACATATTTGTTTATACCTGTATATATAATTATTGGATACACATATATAATTGCACTTAAGTATTACATAAAAATATACAAATGTATTGTAATTGTATCATACATACATATATTCACAATGATATAAGCTAATTATTTCATGCCTGCACATTCTTAATTTTTAATTACATACATATATCTTATTGCATACTTACATAGATTATATAAAGAAATATTTCCACTGAATTTTCTTTTTCCGGGTAGGCCAAAACAACGTCATCTAAAAAACCTGTAAAATAATATCAAAACTGAGTCGACTAAGAAGCTGTTCAAAAAAAGTTGGAAAAGTATAACAAACCTCTTATAAAGAGATTCTAGAATTTTAATATAAATATAGTTTATAGACTTGGATAATGTTCTAGCAAAGCAGACACATTAATTAGCATTTAATCTCCATCTCCTCAAAACCAGAAATGACGGACGACAGATTTGTTCAGCTGTCCAAATAATATATACAGAAGCCTCTTATGTTCTAAGAATTTGTTATCGTTTTATCTTTTCTTATTTTCCAACCAAGGTCTGAAAAGACAATATCTAAATAAAACTAAATGCGATTGGAATCATATTATGAAAGGTGATGATAAGCCCGAGAGGTTGATGTTAATGAAAAATGACCATAAAGGCTTGATTAGTTGTGGAGCACCATCAACACCACCTCCACTACCAGGCTTGGTTAATTGTGGAGCAACATCAACACCACCTCCACTACCAGGCCTGGTTGGTTAGTTGTGGAGCACCATCAACACCCCCTCCACTACCAGGCTTGGTTAGTTGGGGAGCACCATCAACACCACCTCCACTTCCAGGCTTGGTTGGTTAGTTGTGGAGCACCATCAACGCCACCTCCACTACCAGGCTTGGTTATTTGTGGAGCACCACCAACACCACCTCCACTACCAGGCTTGATTAGTTGTGGAGCACCATCACCACCACCTCCACTACCAGGCTTGGTGTTAGTTGTGGAGCACCACCAACACAACCTCCACTACCAGGCTTGGTTAGTGGTGGAGCACCATCAACACCACCTCCCCTACCAGGCTTGGTTAGTTGTGGAACGCCATCAACACCACCTCCACTACCAGGCGTGGTTAGTTGTGGAGCACCATCAACACCCCCTGCACTACCAGGCTTGGTTAGTTGTGGAACACCATCAACCCCACCTCCACTACCAGGCTTGGTTAATTGTGGAGCAACATCAACACCACCTCTACTACTAGGCCTGGTTAGTTGTGGAGCACCATCAACGCCACCTCCACTACCAGGCTTGGTTATTTGTGGAGCACCACCAACACCACCTTCACTACCAGGCTTGGTTAGCTGTGGAGCACCACCAACACCACCTCCACTTCCAGGCTTAGTCAGTTGTGGAGCACCATCAACACCTCCTCCACTACCAGGCTTGGTTAGTTGTGGAACACCATCAACCCCACCTCCACTACCAGGCTTGGTTAGCTGTGGAGCACCATCAACACCACCTCCCCTACCAGGCTTGGTTAGTTGTGGAACACCATCAACACCACCTCCACTACCAGGCGTGGTTAGTTGTGGAGCACCATCAACACCTCCTCCACTACCAGGCTTGGTTAGTTGTGGAACACCATCAACCCCACCTCCACTACCAGGCTTGGTTATTTGTGGAGCACCACCAACACCACCTCCACTGCCAGGCTTGGTTAGTTGTGGAGCACCATTAACACCACCTCCACTACCAGGCTTGGGTAGTTGTGGAGCACCATCAACACCACCTCCACTTCCAGGCTTAGTCAGTTGTGGAGCACCATCAACACCTCCTCCACTACCAGGCTTGGTTAGTTAGGTGTGGAGCACCATCAACACCACCTCCCCTACCAGGCTTGGTTAGTTGTGGAACGCCATCAACACCACCTCCACTACCAGGCTTGATTAGTTGTGGAGCACCATCACCACCACCTCCACTACCAGGCTTGGTTAGTTGTGGAGCACCATCAATTTAGACATGAAGTATACACATTCGTTTCTAATAATTAATACATTATTAAGGGGAACCGTTTTAATTTTAATTCCAACATTAATTAAAATATAGAACAGATGTGTTGGAAATAAAACTATGCAAGACCATAGTTTGTAAATGCTGTGGTTTAGCATATATGAATTAGTAATCAGGAATGAGAAAATAATCTTTGAAACTGTCCGTTTGTTTCAGTAACTACGGCTGCTTTACCAACAAAGCAACATGCTTTTACAGATAGAGGGCTGTACTCTAAGAGATGACGAGTATTTCAACAACCGTCCTTTAGTCCCAACAAGTGATATGCTTTGCGAGATATCAAAATAAGTCCGACGGGAGTCTACAATCTACTGCGGGCTGCTGCTGCTGCTGCTGCTAGTTGCAGCTCAAACACCAAAGTCAACAGACACATCATCACAGCAACAGGACGTAAACCAGAAACATTAATGAAAACAAGTTTTTAACAAACTAACGGGAACACAAAAATAATATCAAATAAAATGAAAAAATGAAGGGAAGGGAAAATGTAAGTAGATGAATACCTCCTTTGATTGAAGGGCATCAAATCTACAGTGACCAGTTACACGGTGATGAAATGAATTTTGATCTCGAGCCACTGTCACACATACACACAAGAGAACATACTGATGTAAGAAGAATTCGAAGTTTGGATGACATTTGTTCGCATACCATCAACATCCACTTACCCCACAACCATTCCAACGATAATGACGAATGAGTAGACATTGTGCGGAATACGACGGTATACAAAATGATGTCTCCAAGTTTTCCTGCACTACCCGTGATCAAATACAGTTCGTACCGTACAAGCCAAGCAACGTTCAATTGTTTCGACTGTTTACTTTACTAACTTTTAAAAACATGAATGGTCCAGAAATTAATTCAAGATGATAACGTACCCGATATTTTTACTCGCTATCCAACTTTGTCAAAAATAAACAAATAATGTTTTTTTAGGTCATTACATGGTTATATTGACTAAAACAATGTTAACATTATATTTTTTCTCGGTTAATATTTCTGTTTAAGTTGATGAAACCATGTATCGACCTCACCAAAACATTATAATAATATAACTTTACATGGAGAAATGAACATTATCACACACATACTCAGATATTGACAGAAAACACCACAGACTATTAGAACCAATCACAACTGGATAGCGAACTTACAGTCTAGTAAACACTTTTGTCATGTTATGATCGTTACTATTAAAAACGTGTTTGATTGATGTCCACGAGAGGTCAGGTGATGTGTTTATTGATCGTTATATCAATGAATCATTAAAGACGTCTACTAACAGCCCTGATGACTTTAAGGAAGTGACAGGTCCATCATGATAATCTATCATGAGTGATTGACAATGTGTAAACATCATATCTATAAGTAACAAACAGTCTATAATAATTAAGTGATTCATACGTGTAATATGTTGTTATATAAATCTATAATAATTGGATGATTTATACGGGGAATATGTTGTTATATAAATCTATAATAATAAGGTGATTGATACGGGGAATATGTTGTTATATTAATCTATAATAATTAGGTGATTCATACGGGGAATGTATTGTTATATAAATCTATAATAATTAGGTGATTCATACGTGTAATATGTTTTAATATAAATCTACAATAATTAGGTGATTCATACGTGTAATATGTTTTAATATAAATCTACAATAATTAGGTGATT